GTATTCAGAAAGAGACAGAGAGAGAGAGAGAGAAGAGGGGAGGAGTAGATCTTGCGAGAACTTCAGGGCGGGTGAGAATAGCCACTTTCTTAGTAGGAGAAATAGTGCTGGCCAAAATATTTAGGCCTACCCCACGTATCTGTGTTAAAATTCGTAAAATAAAACCTTTTTTCCCTACATTTACCTTTTCTGCAACATAACGGGTTTGAAATCTGAGTGCAAGAAAGCTGTCTGAGTACAATAAATAGATGTGATAGCAGCAGAATAGATCAGATCTTATTTTAGTTTAGTTCTCTAGATTAGAATTCTTGTCTTAGAATAGAACCTGAAGTCAGCAGCCAGTGCCACATTGTGGAGACCATGTGCATGTTATGTACTCATTACGCAATGAACATGCATTGTTCTTGAAACAAAACAACTATAGAGCTAACTTAACATTTAAACAGCCAACTTGAAGCCCGAAAATAGTACCAAACTCTCAATATTACCCTAGGCAACTTCACCAACACGACAGCTCACAGTAAAGATGGCCGATAGACCTTTGTTCTGTAAACAATTCAGTAAGTGAGCTCACAAAATATGTTGTTTCAAATTCCGGAATAAGGGACATTGAATTTATTACATTTTCACATCTTCATATGATAGATGACATAAATATTGCTGTCATAAACCCTAAAGTTTACGTTCAAGTCTAAAATCAACTGAAAGGTGTAGTGATGAACATTCAATTTCTAGAATGTTTACCGTACTTGAAATGTTTTCGTTTTCGTAAAATGTTGGTCTGGAATAGTAGCAAGAAGATTATTTTCCTTTGGCCTAGTGGGGTTATTTATTGCGTTGTGCAGTTGAAACGACAATGCCAATGTGTCTGAACTCGGTCGTTGTAACATAAGAGAACACCATTTGCGACCCAAAAAGACCGCACGTTGCTCAACGCTATGTGAGCGTTTCAAACGCCAATAAGACATAGATCTAAGCCTTTTTGTCGTTGAACTGGACCCGTTATAAGTATTTAATAGCATGTAGATTTCCACACATGTCGTGTCGTGGAGACGAAGAGTGCATTCCTGAAACATGTGCATTCTCGTTCATCAGCACTATAAGTAATGAGGAACGTATTCGTCGAAGGGGAGAGAGGAGGGATGGGGTGAGAGAGAGAGGGGGGGGG